TGGGTGTGTGTGTTTGGACAAATTAAAATAAATGAATGAATAAATAAAATTAAATAAATAATTCTTTAAAAAAGAAAAAGCCAGAATAAGAGGAGCTGGGACTTCTAAGGCCTGGACACCATTCTGTATGCAGAGCTTCCCAGCAGTTGTTGAAGACTGGGTGAGCACTGGTCGGGACAAACTGAGGCGATATAATGACTTTGGGGGTACCGATACACTGTCATGGAACACAGGCCATCAGGAAGAAGGAACCCTTCAGTCACCACTGAGGCCTAAAACCAAGGCCAGGATGTAAAATTTAGAGAACACCAAGAAAACTCAATAATCAAAATAGTAATTATTTTAAAATCAGTTGACCAGATGTCCTGATTACTGGCTGGGTTGACCAGATAACTTAGAAGGCTGTGTTGACTGAATGATCTGTTGAGTAACTAGTTTGTGAAATTATAATGTCTAAAAGGTCATGTTCACTACCTCCACTGGAGACAGGGCCAAGAGTCAGAGTCTGTCCTTATAGGTGGGACACTCTAGGCTGGTGGGAAGCCAGGTCCAGACCTGCCTGCAATCATCTAAACCAGGCTCTAGATTCTTTCCTGCTAACTCATTAGCAGTGGATCGGGTTGGACAGGATGTTGCCACTGGGCCATTCATTCCTAAATACCTGGTAAACACACAAGGCCCTAATGTATTCATTAAAAGAGTTCATGCCTTACCTGCTGAAAACATCAGTTATTTAGTAGCTACCTTGTTCTTCTAATCGACTTCATCAATCAGAAGAATCATTTCAAAGCAACTTAGAAGTGTCATTATTTTTTATCTTTAGACCTTGCTAAAAATAACAGGTGAATTATAATCTTAAATCGCATATAGGAAAGGTCTTCCAAAGTTCATGGCAAGTGTGAATTATGAAAAACCTATGCATGGATTTCAATTTTTTGCATCAAAATAAAATCATACTTTAATGCTACTTTTCTCAAAACTTTTGGCTATCTCCTTATATTTTCTTGGTAATCCCTAATTATTGTGAGGATAAAAAGAAACATGAATCCACGAGGTTTCTGCAGAAGGATTTTCTCATCCCTCTGCTAGTTTCATATTTAATGAGGGATGATTGCCAGGATGAACTGTACTTGGTAGAAACAGTCCATGAAGCAAAAGCGGTGGGGAGAGGGGAGGGTGACACTTAAATAGCAAGGAAGGTGCTTAGGAAGGAAAAGGAAACCTCTGTGAGAACAATAAAGCAGACCCAGGACAGATGCCACGAGTTACCCTGGAAGAGCTCCAGAAAGTGGTTCATAACTCTCACAGTCTTAGAGGTGGGGGGCACATTAAGGGACGAATGAGCTTCCACCTACACCGCTGAGTGTCTGTCCTTCCCTCCGCCTGCAAGTGATTCCTCCCAAGTCTGCAGATTCAACTCCTTTGCCTTCTACTCTCCACTCTACGCTCCCACCTTCAGAGAGGCCCTCCCTGAACAAGCCTCCCCCACCCCCAGCTGTCTCAACTGCATGTTAATCTGAAGCATTATCACTCATTTATGTTATCTCATTTATTTATTCACTTATGTGCTTATTGTCTGTCATTTCCACTATAATATAAACTGGTAATTACAAGTCTTATCTATTCCTATTTCTTGCTTTATTTCTAATATCTACAACAGTTCTGGGCAGACAACAGGCACTTGAGTAATGTTGAAATAAAGTAATGAACTCACGTCATTTGCAGAGTAACCTGAGGGCCAGGAATATTAAATTACAAGTTCAAGCCCACCCAGCTACCTAGCAGCAGAACTAAGACTCACACATTGTGTACTGGTGGTCTGGCCTTTGGGACGCTTGAAGGGAGTCTTGACACTTCAGATTCTTGTCTTTTTTCAATATACATCTTTTAATATATTTATTTAACCGATTATAAAGAACAGATGCATGTGCATAGGAGAGAGAGAGAAACACTTGACCGGCCCGCAATGCTCCTTCCTCAGTCCTGCAGCCCATTAGGATCTTGGGTACCCAAGCACAGGTCTAGTTGTTTTCAAGCCAACCCAGAGGGGTGAGTTCGTAGTCAGCCCTGGCTCCCAGCTTCTAACTCCTCCAGCACTTGGGATTCGCGGTGCTGGGACTAAGCCAGATACTAAGGATCTGGAGCCACACAAGAATGAGGGGGAGAAAAGCATTTACTTTTATACAATCAAGCCTTGAAATCCAGGAGGAAACTAACATCAAATCTTTTGCAAAACACCATTATTGCACCTCCAAAAGATGGTTCGGAAATGTTCCTCGTCGTAAACGACATTAGCAAATTGGAAACTCATTTCACACCAAAGGGCACAGCAGAGTTGCCAGTGAAAGTGAGGGAAGTCTTGTTAATGAGATACAGTGAGACGGAAAACACCACAACGCTTCTTCACAGGGAAACTGCTGTAATTAAGCCAGAGCATGTCGGTGTTATTTAGCAAAATAAATAATTACCCTATGCCCTTGAGGCTGATTGCTAATTTGAGCGCTGGGCTAATACTCTTGCAGTGGGGTCTGGAATCCACTCCAGAACTCTTGCTCGGGGCACCTGAGCGACTTACACAGAGCAACTGCGGGTGACGCAAAGGTGCCTGATGTGGCGCTGGTCGCGTACATGGCAAGTGCAGGAATGTGCGCGTGGCAGGTCGCTCCGGCTGTGACAAGTGGAAAGTTACTCTCCAGCGGTTGCTGACCACCTGCTCAGGCCAGACCATGCCCTGGATGCAGGGGACACAGGGTGACACCATCCCTGATCCTGAGAAGCCACACAGCCCTTGACACTCCTGAGGAGCACAGCATCAGCTTGGGCAGTGGCGATGTCTCGTCTGTGTCCATGAAGCCCCTAATCATTTCGACGCATTGAATGTTAAACACAGGCACACAGGGGAAAGCCATGGCTACTTCGTGCCCATCCCAAGCCCAAAACCTAAAGAGGAAGCAGGCCTGACCCCACGCAGACACCCGACACTCCGAACAAGTCGGAGGAAGGCCTCAGAGCGCAGTCGCCTGGCTCTCACAGCTGCCCAGGCTCAGAGGTCACTCCGAGCAGCGGCGGCCCTGGCCGAAAGCACAGGGTGCAGAGGCTCTCCGGGGAGTGTTATTCACCGTCTGCTTGGGAAGCCTTTAATGGGCAGGTATTACAACACCCGTTCTGGAACAGGATGAAAGGGATAAATTGCCCTCATTCCCTTCCCTGCAATTCCACTCCTCCCAGCAAGGAGAAGCCTGCCATTGGAGGTCGTGACTCCAGAGCTTCCTGGCAAACCAGGGCGACCTGAGATGCCAAGGCCCATGTCCAGGGCTGACAGGTACTTCTCATGTCAGTTCTCCAGGTGCAGACATGGATTTCCGAAGGTCGTCGGGCCAGGCGATCAGAATCGTATACAGAAAATGCAGCAGAAATAAAACGGACTGTAGGAATCTAAAATGTGGAAAGTTATCGGCACAAAGAAAGAAAAATCTATGAAGAAGCAACCGAGTGCTTAGGGAGAAGAAATGTGATTCTGAAATGCACATCACACTGTGAACACATCCCGTTACCACCCGTTCCTACTGCGGCAATAAAAGGACCCAGCAATTCCAACCACTCTGTGGGTTCGCACCCCAGTCTCCAAGGATGGCTGGCTAATGGAGGACGATGGGTATGGCACTTTAAAAACACCTTCCAACTAATGAAAACCCTTCCCCTCACAAGCAGGAGCTGAGTGAAATGGCTGGGTCAGGAAAGGCCTGCAAGTATCAAGTGGGCTCTTTATTTAGCTCAGGAGGAGTGGCTCGATTGATTTTAGTGTACATAGTATCTGGGAGGTGAATTCTCACCCTGCAACCCCTAAGGCAACTGGAACAGCTGGAACACAATGCTCGCAGGACCAAGGTTGAAAGTGTCAACATCACAGGAACCAGTCAGATTTCCAGAGGAAAATTCCGTTCTTGGATCCCAAACTCCATCCCTAGGCTTAGCTACTCAGCTCATTAACATGGGTCCTTAGGCCTTGGGCATGAGACTTCGTATGTGGCCAAACACAAAAACAAAAACAAAAATGCATAACTTCGCAGAGCATAATCAAAGGTTCATAGCTCACTGACTGTAGGTTCCTCGAGTTTTCTTCCAGAGAAAAGACAACAACATTTGATTGGTGGCAGTTGTCTTCAGGAAGCTCGCAGAGACTTTTTTTATTAAAAGTCCTTGTAGAAACTTAACCCGTGCTGATAGATGGCAGCAGCCACTCTGGCTTCAGTGAGCACACAGGAGCAATGCCCCGCTCTCCCAGCCCACCCGCCCCGCACCTGGGTGACACCTATTTATCACTGAGGTCTCAGTTTGATGTCATCTTGGCAGGTCGGCCATGTTTGATCTTTGAGACTATGCAACACCTCCCTGTTTTACACACTCTAAGTTCCTACTATTTCTCTTTCATGACATTCTTGTAATAATTAATAGATAATTCTTTAAAACCCAGCTTCACTCCAGGAAAACGGAAACTGTTCTGTTCTGACAGAACGATATAGTACCCCATAACGTAGCACAGCACGTGTAGCAGGTACTCAGTGAAAATAAAATTATCGATTTACTTGTGTACTTATTTATCTGGGTGAAAGGATGAATTAATATTCACTCAGGAATCAAACTGACTGAAGAATCACACATTCTCGGAGTTAAATTATCAACTTGGTTGGAAATCCAAGTGTAAGAGATACATATTATCTTAGCCAGCCTGACATCTACTTCCTTTGTTCTTATAACAGCAGACCTTTTGGCAAAAGACCCTGTGGGACCTTGTGGTTTGGATGGAGTTAACGCTATTTGCATTCTTGGAGTTGCGCATGAGCGGTTGGCTAATTAGCATATTCCATCCCATTGGTCATGGTGATTGGTTTAGACATGGACACAAAACTCAGTCTGAACCAATCAGATCCAAGCTGAGACTGTCATGGAGTCACTGGGATAGGATGTTCTGTTTGGGGGAAGATTGCACAACTGAAATCTTAGAGCTACTAGGGCCATCTTGTCACCCAGTGGAAATCAACAAAACCAACACAAAGCTAAAAGATCTTCATCTAGAAGTAGATTCCTGATGAGATTATTACAGCGCCTAGATCCAGCTGTGCCTGAGGTCGGGTGTACCCTTGGGTTGGTTTGTTTGTTTTTAATGTGTGCTCATTTCCTTTGTGGATTAAGCCATTTGAACTGAGTTTCTGTTGCTTAAGGAGAATCTTAAACAAAACATTTATTTGTCAGTCAAACCACCCTGTGCACACAATAAGGGCAAAAGAAATCAGAATTCTGTGAAAGAAAGTTTTCAGGAGAGTTGTTGAAACAGGGATGGATCGTGAAGGGTACTCATGTAGCAGATCAAAGAGGGACATCCTGGGGGCAAGTAGGACAGCACAGAGAAGTGGTGGCCAGCAGGTGAGGAGGCCAGTGGGACACCAGGGAAGAGGAGCAGGTGGCTGTGGTAGTCAGGAAGAAATGCCCCAGATATAAGGGTCAGGGTGAGACCTGAGGCTCAAGAGAAGAAAACAGCAGAGTCAAAAGTGCCCCCAGCAGCTGATGGGACAGGGCCACCTACAGCCAGCCCTAGGGCAGAGGTCACTAACTGCTGTGAATGTGTTGTCTCCTGTCCTTCAATGTGTCAATGATCAGAAAGTGAGAGATTCTTTCTTTTTCCCTTGATTCCCTTCCTCTCACCCACCCCCATTTAGGGGACACAAAAATGGAAAATGTATCTGTTGATGGTAATATGTATGGTAACATCTTTGACTGAACCACTATATAGCATATTCATGATGGGCAGATTCATTTGGTATGCTGTAATGATACTCAGTGATTGAATGTAAAATAAATACATAAATAAGAAAAAGGTGGGGGAAAAGTGAGTGATTCTACCTCAAATTCAGATGTCTATCTGCTCTTCCAACAAGAGAAGATCATGCATCTCTGGCCCCACGGCCCTCTGTGGCCACCATCTGCTGAAGCTGAGGGCACCTCCCCCCAGAAGGGCAGGCTCTCAGGTTGCTGTCAGTCTACCTCTCTCCACTTCCTCACCTGGCCCATATCCTGTCTTCCTGTGGCCAGTCTGGCCAACCAGCATTGGTGTGTCCAACCGTGAGCAAGAGCTCTCCTCCTATCAGCATCACGGGCTCTAAGTGTGTCTCTGAATTCCAAGGAGGACCCACAGCCCCACTTAAAGGAGGTCCACGTGCTCCAGCCTTAGCTGTCTGGGCATTGCCAGCACCTCCCCTGTTGAGGATTCTGGACTGACTCAGAGACCCTTTCTCACTCTGCTCACCTCCCAAATGCCTCTATTATTCAAATGTGTCAGGAAGCCCTTTGCAACGAACAGTCTCATAACTCAGATTACTCCATTAGGGAGAGACCCACGCCCCTTCCCTTGGTTTCAGTAATGAAACTATAGAAGAGGAGAAAACATGAAAACAGAAATAACTTTCTGGGAGGTTCAAAAGTTTAAAAAGCTTTTCAAAGAGCTTCTGGAATAAAAGTAACAAACATTACATTTCATCGTCTTCAAAGGGGCAGAATTAAAAGATTGTAAGAAATGCCAAGAATGGATTTTGTAAAACTTTCCAGCATCTTCCCTGTGGGTGAGTAGCCAGAACCAGCCTGCAGGAGAACTGGTTTTCCTTCAGACCCAGTGCTTATAATAGGCACTAATGATGCCAGCCCCAGTGGTCTTCAACTCGGTTTTCCTTCCTCCTTTCACTGGGCTACGAATGGAGAATAATGGGAAGGCCAAGAACTCTCAGATGGTTGAACAATCCTGTTCAAGAGGGAGACAAATTGAACTGGAGGAGAGATGATGCATCCGGTTCAATGACAAAAAAAATCAAGCTGTGTTCTCAGTAGCTTTAGAAAATGCGCCTCAGGACCTTGTTGCTCTGGTGCAGCCTTGGGTAACCCCAGGACCCTGCATGGCTGAGAGCCACATGGCCATGGGACATCCAGATCCCCTAGCTGACCTGAAAACACACTGAGCACCCGGGTTCCTGAGGCGCTGTAGGGCAGGGGAAGGGGGCTGTGGTGTGATGAGACCCTGGCAAGGGTGCTTCTCTTATGCACGTGCTCTCTATCATAAAAAAGGAGAGGAGAAGAGAGGAGAGGAGAGGACACGAGGGGAGGGGAGGGGAG